CCTCACTTTCTGCCATCAGAGTGGTATCATCTGCATATTGTTGTTGATATTTCTTCCGGCAATCTTAATTCCGGTTTGGGATTCCTCCAGTCCAGCCTTCCGCATGATGTATTCTGCATATCAGTTAAATCACTGGTTCTTAACCTTGGGTTACTCAGGAGTTTTGGACTGCAACTCCCAGAAGCCTTCACCACCAGCTGTCCTGATTGGGGCTTCTGGGAGTTGCAGTTCAAAAGCATCCGAGTAACAAAGGTTAAGAACCGCTGATTTAAATAAGCAGGGGGACAATATGCAGCCTTGTTGTCCTCCTTTCCCAGTTTTGAACCAATCAGTTAATCATAGACATTTTATAGTTCTCGTTCTCCATAGGGAAGGGGCTGTAGCTCAATGTATAGGGCCCCAGCTTCAGACCTTGCGATTGCCAGTTCAGGTGGAGGTGGGCCAGGTGTGGGCCAGCAGCAAGGCCTTCGGTATTTGCTTTTCCCCATCAGAAGAGGGAAAGGTATTGCAGGGGAAGGGGTTATCAAAGCCAGAAGTGGATGTCCGATCACAGCTGGGTGTGGCTCAGCCCCCATTCAAGTTTTGTCCATTTGTGGATCTGATTCGGGCAGGTGGGGAAGTACTAGGATGAAAATCTGGCCCATAGTCTTCCTGCACTGCCTACCCCTATAGTATGTTAACTAGCTTAAGGCATCCTTGTTAATTCCAGCCCTGCACAATTAAACTAAAACCCTACCTGGTTTGGTATTTTGTCTCCCACACTGACCAGCAGAATGGTCTGGGAAGACAGGAAGCAGCAGGGTGCATTTAAAAGTGTGCTGCCTCCTATTCCTGAAAGTTGTGTTGAAGTCATTAGGACAACTAGCCATTGTTAGCTTTAAACTCCATGGATTTATCCGTTTTGTAGCCATCTGTGAGAAATTGTGAGGGCTAGTTTGATGTTAGTTGTAGCTGGGATTACTGAACCCACAACCCGTCTTTTTAAAATGAATTCTGGGATTTAGGGGCCGAAATGTGAAGGAAACTTGAGTGTGAACAGTTGTACTAGAGAGTCAGCAAAAATCTTAATCCATGTCCCTACAAACCTGGAAAATGTCCAAGTTCAGCACAAAGAGAGCTATTAAGCAGCAAGATTAAACTGCATGCATCCTTGTTGCATAGGTATTGACTGATTAATATTAATTGCATCCTACTTTTCTAAAGTCACACCCTTGAGTGGCTTACAACAAAATATCCATACAAATACAGCAAAAAAGTACACAGGTGGTGCACACAAGTTGTACTGTAGCATCAAGCAGCAGTGAAAAATGAAAACAACTTTTGAGGTTAAATCTGAATCAGTGATAAAATAATTAGACATTTAAAGCCTACAGAAAAAGATGCTTTCATTCTTTGGCAAATGAGCCTATGAGGGGGGAAATTGACAGAATCCTCTTGGAAGTACGTTCTGGAACTGCAGTGCCACCACCGAATAGACCCTTCTTCTCCTTACTACGAAATGGGAACTACTAAAGTTGCAGAATTTGGGGCCATGAGTTCTTAATTGCAAAATTCCCAATTATAATAATGCTGCAGCTCTTTTCAAAGATGGCATTCACAAGAGCAGACCTTTGGTCTAGATGGGCGGATAGAAATCAAACAAACAAATAAATGCTGTAAAATAAAAAAGCCTATCTCTGGCTTCACTTTCTTTCAACGATGAAGGAAGTGATGACTAGCGGAATGGACCCTCCCAGATAGTAGTTTTCCAGAATGACTTTCACAAGAGCCCAATCCCCATTGCAGAAGTGGGAGATGATCAGGAAATGTCAGGGGTTCCCACATAGGGCTGGGCAAAAATCCAGCAAGAAATCTGGGACAGCTGTTGCTGCCACCCAGAGTTGACTCTACTAGGTTAAATTGACCGATAGTCTGACTCAGTGTAGTAAGGCAGAACTATCTGTGTTCCTTTTTCCCTGAGGGTTGAGATCTTCTCTCTGTGTCTGATAAGAAACTGGGAGCTGAGGGGATACTTGCAGCCTTCCAAGGTCTGAACTTCTCAAGTTTGCTCACCTTGTCGTCTAGGCTGTGACTTGTCTGTTCCTTTTCCCGTGTCATCTTCTGCTTTTAATTATTATAGCCTGAAGGTTGCTTAAACTACTTGTGCTACTCTTCCATTTTCTTCTGTTGCTCTCTTGTGTTTTAACTATGATCAGTTCAGTTTTGATTAACTTCTGGTATGCACTGCTTCAGAATTTTTTTCTTTAATGGGGGGTATGCATATTTGAAATAGTAACATTTATTTTTAAGTCCAATCAAATCATCTACTTTATGGACTGATTCCAGCTACATCACCTGCAAAATGTTAGCAGCTCTGTCCCCCTCCCCCCCCCGATGAGCTCTCTGAGCCTAATGCACTATGTACGCTGCTCTCCTTTTTGCACAGATCGAGTGTCATCAGCAACAGCAACCATAACGCTCACCTCAGCTTCTTCACAGTAATATATCCTGCAGTGCTTTTCACCATTCAGGAATAAATATGTAACGTGCTTGATGGTAAAAATAATTCCCCCCACTTCATCTCCTCTTTGTTCCCTTCTCTCCACCCCCCACTCGTCAGGCAGGATGATGCGATTGTTCCTTTTGTACTCCTCTCGTATTCACTGCGTTAAGCCCGTTTGCAGCTGGCGGGTTTGCCCTTTTGGAAACAAGATGGCAGGCTAAACACACACACACACACACACACACAAACACACACACAAACACA